TGCTTTGTTGGAGGGCAGAATGAGTTGGCGATGGATTCTGCCCTGGATGGTGACCTCTGGTGCTGCTGTGCCATAATGTAGTCCTGGACGTCGGCCATTAGTACAGTCAGGATGTCCAGGGTTACTGGCTGGGGTACAAATTCTAACCGGGTTCTCAGTTCCCTCTGGTACGGGGTTTCCTCCCTGGCAGGTGGGGGTGGACTGCTGTGCGCTTGGTCGCCCTCCATCAGCTCTGCAATTAGCACTGCTTTCGATTTGTTGCTAGCGCTTTTCCCTCTAGCCTCCAGCAGTTCCTTTAGCGTCTGCCTCTTTAACGCAGTGTAATCCGTCCCCATTCACTGCTCGCTTTCGTCTGCTTGTTTCATGCGAATTGCCTTTCCATTCGGTTGTTCCTTTTATTCGAATGCGCTGTATTCGGCTGTAGAGTTGGATCCCGTCGCTTGCCACCAATTGTAGCGGAACGCCAATAATAAATCCATGAATTCCGCTGGTTCAGAAACGAATCCACAGTCAAGCGCTGAAAACAACAAGGCAATATCCCCAACCTCCCAATAACCGGACGAGACACAGTTTTGGGAGTCAACTGAAATCCTTTTAATCGGCAGGACAATTTTAAGTCCCCATGCAAGGGGTTTCCTGAGTCCCTCCCCAGGGGCACTCCCAGAGGGGACTACATGGGGGACTTACACGACAACATATTTCTCCCATCAGGCACCGCTGCACGAGAGGGATCATCCTCCCAGAATGCACCGTTAAGGGGATTATCCCCTCGTGCAGCAGAACCAACAATTTATACAAAAATACATAACTGGTTAAATACACGTTGGATTTACACGTTCGGTAGATAGCTGGGGTCTGAGCGCATCATTCGTGAGATTGCCGCTCAGATCCCAGCTAAAATAACCGAACGCCGCACAGAAAACACATTTCTTTTAAAACATACGAAAAGAACCGATTACTTCTAGTGAACATGATCCTGAAACTCCCGAACGTCCTGGAGGCTCAGCGGTGTTCGTGCCGTCGAATAGCTATGGGTAATTCTATGCATTCGACAACTTGGTCCCGCTGAGGATCCAAGATGGCCGACCGCCGCATGGTCGGTAGTCGAACGACAGCCACCCAGGAGAGCCTCTAATAACCGATTGCAACAATGTTGCAATCGGTTAATTAGCGCCACACGCCTCTAAGTGTGTGGGCTATTAGGGGGTATCGCGTTCGGTTCACGAACGGCTTTCTAAAGTGCCGTTCGTGAAACGAAAGAAAATCCCCATACAAAACCGCCATTTGCATTCGGCGGAAACAGCAGTACAGGCAATACAGAAAATACATTAGCATATACATAAGTGTAAAGCGCATATCTCGCCAGACCTATTGGCAACCCTTAAAGGCACAGTCTCCAATTATAGTCTAAGTGGCTAGGTTTGCCACAGACCTCCAGCATGCTCCGACAGTACGAATCTAACACACGAACGCCCTGGCGTTTGGTAGATAGATTCCCCTAAACGAGGGGAATCATACGAATGGTAGCAATCGCATGGATGGCCAAGCTGTTCGGTATCGGTGATTCACTAAAATAGACCGACCGCAGGGCCAGAATTCATGGAACTGTTTTCGGCTACTGAGTCCCTGCGGTCGGTCAAATCTTTAACGGTCTGTAACTCCCGAACCCCTGCTCCGATCTGGGTGAATTTCAAGTATGTTGCTCACCCAGATCAGACCTACCAGGGGACCCCTTATTTGTCCCTGTACCCCCTGTATTTACGGGACATCCAGAAAGTGGGGAAAACTCTGTCCCCACTAATCTGGTTAAGTGCTAATCTAAGGGGAGGAGAGGAAGGGGAGGTGACCGGGTTACAATTGGTTACTGAACTAATTATGAAAGTTACCTCCCTTGCATGGGAGAAATGCATAAAAGCAGACCTGTGAATAAAGCTGACAGTTGACTCCCAGACTATGTGTCGTCTAGTCCTTGGGGAGGTGGATTGTGCTGTGTTCCTGTGATTTTGTATGCTGAATCTTTGTTCCCAGCGGAGAGCCACTGGATTAACCCCTGCTCCTCCGTTACATTTAGTATGTGCCTTACTGTGCTCACCTCAGTGTCTTTTGCCACCAAGTAATGCTGCAGGTCTTTTGCACTCACTCAAGTGTTTTTCACAACCTGCCTTCTCAGCAATCTGGTTGCAGCCATTCGTAGCTTTCTTTTTCTGCGCTGTCCAGGTAGTGTGACCACTGTTCTTTCCACTTTTAACATGCAAACTATGCTTCCAACAGTGTCTCTAGGAACATTCAGTACCTTTGCTATATTTTTGTATCCTGTTCCTTGTTTGTGAAGGGTGGTGCTCTCTTCTCTTAACTTTGTCAACCATTTTAGACTTATATATTTCTAACATGTAGTCAAATGTGACACTCAACAAACCCGTAGCCAGTTTAGGTATTTAAATTGTTCCAGCTCAAAGCACACCTGATGCAACTAATGAAGCCCTTAAATGTGCTTGAGACAACAACTGTTTTGTATATTGCTGTGCTGTTGTAAGGAACTATATTCAGGGGGTTGAATAATTTTGAGGCTGGAGAAGTCATTAGCTGCATTTTTAGTTGAATTTGAGGTAACCACTGAAGCATTCATTGTGTTGAGCAATTTCTATTGCTTTTGTTTGATTTGTTCATTGCAAACAGCTGAACGCCTGTAAATTTTGACAATAAACCTGATTTTCAATAGAGGTTGAATAATTTTGATTACAATTGTATAGTTTTATATCAGCGATCACACAATTCCCTGGTAAGTTAATCTATTTAACCTGGACCTGTAGGTGTGCTGATTCCTGTGTGATATGATTTGTACGTGTCAATCACCTAGAGCAGGGGTTCCCAAATCAGTCCTCAAGTACCCTCTACCAGTCCAGGATTTAGGGATTACCCTGTTGTGTTTTAAGTTATTTGTTTTTCTGAAAGCACCTTAGACACAACAGGGTAATCCCTAAATCCTGGACTGTTGAGGGGTACTTGAGGACTGGGTTGGGAACCACTGACTTAGAGCCATCTGCCTATCTGCAGGACCCTACTCCTCCCTAACCATCCCCCCACCTGCAAGAACCTACCTCTGACATAAACATCCCTCCACCAGCAAGACCTCTACCCTAAACATCCCTTCACCTGCAATCAAGCAATTACTCTACCTTCAAAACCCAACTCTTCCCTAATATCCCTCCACCTGCAAGACCCTACCCCTTCCTAATCATCCCATTATCTGCAAGACTCTAACCACCCCTGCACCTGCAACACCCTACCCCTACGTAACCATCTGTCCAGCTTCAAGACTTAACTCCACCCTAACCATCCCTCCACCTGCAAGACTTTACTCCTCCCTAGCCATCTCTCCACCTGCTAGAAGTTACCACTTCCTAACAACTCTCCATCTGCAAGATCCTATGATTTCCTAATATCCCTCCACCTGCAAGACACTATGCAGATCAAGCCATCCCTTCACCTTCAAGACCCAACCATTCCCTAGCATGCCTCCACATGCAAGACCCTACTCCTTCCTAGCCATCCCTCTGCCTGCAAAACCTTCCCCTCCCTACCCATCCCTCCATCTGCAAGAACTTACCCCTTCATATTCATCAGTCTTCCTGTAAGACTCATCCCTACCCTAACCATGCCTCCACCTGCAAAACCACATCCCTCCATAACCATCCCTCCACCTACAAAACCCTATACCTTTATAACAATCCTCCACCTGCAAGACCTTGCCTATACACTAACATCCCTCAAGCTTGAAGACTGTACCCCTTCTTAACCATCCCTCCACCTTCAAGACCCTACCCATATTAACCATCCTTCCACCTTCAAGATCCTACCCATCTCTAGCCATCTCTCCATCAGCAAGACGCTATACCTTCCTAACAATTCCTCCACCTGCAAGACTCAGCCCCACCCTAACCATCTCTCCACCTGCAAGACTCAGCCCCACCCTAACCATGCCTCCATCTGCAAGACCCTACCCCTTCTTAACCATCCCTCCACCTGCAAAATGCTACCCCTCTCTAACATCCCTCCACCTGCAAGACTTAACCCCACTATAACCATTCCTCAACCTGCAAGATCCTACCACTTCTTAACCATGCCTCCACCTGGGTAGAAAGATTCTACCCAAATCAAGCCATCACTCCATCTGCAACACTCAACCCCTTCTTAAAATCCCTCTACCTGCAAAACTCAACCGCACCCTAACTATTCCTCCACCTGTAACCATCCCTTCCCCTGCAAGACCCTATCCCTTCCTAACATCCCTTCACCTTCAAGATCCTACCCACTTCTAACCACCCCTCCATTTGCAAGATGCTATGCCTTCCTAACCAACCCTCCACCATAATAAACCGATCTTATCCCACCTTAACCATGCCATCACCATTTCATGGCCATTTCTCCACCTGTACATATTTACCTGTTTAAGCATTCCTTGCAATATCTTTCTCTAACCATTACCCAGATTGTCTGCAAGCACTGTGAGCCTCTAAACACATGACATACCCTATAACATGTTGTTTTGAGGAGCTAAACATGACAAAAAACGAAAAGACACTGGGTGCAAGGCAGTTTAATGACACTTTTTCTATTTGTGGCACAGAGAGATTTTCAGGGGTTGGACAAGGTGACACATGGCTACATCCATCCGAACCTGGCATTGCACAGAAACAGTGCACATACTCGGTAGCTAAAAGTTTTATTTTTACCCATCACCAGATCCCATGCATTTTGGTTACTGATCACAGCTTTTATTAGTTCATGTTGTTGCCCTACTTTCTAATGTTTTCTTTATGCAATAAAAACTATTTGATAAAAAGGCTTATTTTACTTTCTACTCAATTACCTGCTAATGGAAAAAAAACCTGGACACAGCTATAACGAAGGCGGCATGAGATCACCGATCTGGAGGTTTCGCTTCTCAGAGAATCCTGCAACAAGAAGAACATTTATTGAGTTTTCTATAAGTCTATTCAGGCAGCCGGAGCTGAGCAGCAGGCATCGCAGTAACTTGGAACTTCATTCAGCCTTCCGATGCTCTCCAGGGAACGAGGAAAATTATTATTGGCAAGCATGATCGACTGCAGGACCTGCTTCCCTGACATACCAATCGAGCAGCCAAGCTAAGAATGTGGGGATAACTAAATATCAGAATGACTGATCAGGGTGGACTTGCCAACCTCTGTCCAGAGAAAGAAAAACCCAAACAAACCAATAAAGTGCAGGTATTGCCCCAGAGTGAAAGGGTCCGTCTGATTGCTTAGTGTATCAATATTAGTGCACAGACACACATTGTGGCGTAACTGAAACGATTTGCAAGACTCATTACAGCTATAATAGTGACCCCTGATCTACAACATCAAACATTGCCATCCTTCTTGCCATCCAATGGGTTCATGGAATACGCGCACACTGCAAAGACACACGCTGCATAAGTTACTACCTGCACCTGGATCATGGCTGCATGTGCTGTGGTTGCTATGGAAACCCCCAGCACTGCTAGCACTAGCAAGGGAATAAAGGAACCAGTGACATGATGTCACTCCGTTCCGACGCCGGGAATGCTTTATTCAATGAGGAGATGCTGATTGGCAAGCAGGGCAATTGAAGTCAGGCCGGACAGGTAACGGAGAGACAGCGAAAACGAGAACTAGCCAGAGTCATGTACTTCGTCAGACAGGCAAACAAGACAGGAAAGGGTTAAAGATAAACTCAGTCAGGAACAAAGCCAAAATCAATACCAAAATAAACACAATAGATCAAGGAACGCACTAAAGGATACTGAAACAGAAACCACGATAGGGCAAAGTGAATAGGGCTAGGGAAGTTTAAATGCCCTTTAACTAACATTTGATTGGCCCACGTCATGCCCACGCCCCCAAAACGTGCATGTGTGGGGGCATCAGAATGACCTGGGCCAATAGGAGCCTGAATCTACTTTTGGCTCCCACTGCCCCTTTAAGAGCGCGCTCGTGACGCGAGCCACACTCCTAATGCCACACTCATTGCAGTCAGTGCATGCGGCCCACTCAGAAGGGAAGATTGAGCCGCAAGCGGCACGTGTGGAAGCAGGACCGCTCGAGCCACGCGGCTGGCCCCCGGATAAGGTAAGTACCGCCAAAATAAACAGCCAGATAATTTAAATTACTTTCAGACAACAGGATGTTTGCACAAAAATACCCCTCAAACAAGTGTTCCCCTCATGATACTGTCATACATCCCCAGAGAGTACTGGTTCCATGGGGCAAACTGTCCAAAAAGTGCCAAAATCAGAGGTGTCTAGCCTAAGCAATCACTGGATGAACAATATGGGGGATAGATACAGCACTGACTCTGGAGGGCAGCAAACACTGAAACTGAAAGAGAAACATGTTGCACCAAATACAGTGAGGGTAGTCCTTGATAATAACCTACAAAATTAATATCACATTTAATACAAATACCAAGAGTCCCAAAGTCTATTGAGGTTGAGCAGCAGGGGTCTTCGTAAGGTAAGTAAATTCAGCTAGTAATCTAATATCTTCACCAACTCAAACCAGTTCCATAATATGAAATACAAAATAGGAAAAACAAGATAGTATAATATTGTGTGCGTCAAAGGAGAAAATGAAAGATGATTCAAAATACATTCCCAAAAATGGAGCTAGCTATTAGTTCTCCGATGTTAGTATTTGACAATACAATCCTTGTCACGGGATATGGAGTGGATGATCAATCACGGCTTTGCAGTACTCAGATAGTGTGCATCTCACATGGAATATATAAACGTGGAGACAAAAAGAGCCAATAGTACAATCCAGTAACAGGATCCCAAGATATTTACTAAAATAAACTAAAATACACTCACAAGTAAAGAGCTTCACATTCAGCTCTTAGTATAGACATGAAGTGGTATAACCCACGTTCACGGATGTTTCTTGGGGTGAGTATTCTTCTGTATTCAACAATAGGCAGTCTGTATATAAGAATGTTCTATTTGTAAGTTGGAGTAAATGTACTTACATTTAATGGAGCACACATATACTCATTGGAAACAGCGAGGGTGGTACAATCCCCACCTGGGATATGTAAGGACAAATAAGAAATAGTACATCTGTGCCAGTTGGAGATGTGGGGATATTTATGGGATAATAATAGTAAACAGTTGAGAATTGCCCACTAATTCAATTCTCAGATCCCAAAGAACGTTTATCGTGTTAAGTGGAAAGTATTTCATATAAATAATCACAATGTATAAAAATAGATTTTTATTTATATGACAAATTAATAATAATAATATTATATGTAACATGCATGACAATAATCAATGAATATTCAGTATAAAACGATATGCAATACAAAGAAATGGGTATTAAGTTTCAATGGCTAAAACGCATTTCCTGTCAAGAATTCTGACGATTTATGAGGTATCTTTAACACAGGCTGAAAGTGAAACTTTTCACATAGAGAACAGAATTCCTCAGAGTGCAGCGTAAGGTCGTAAAGTTTAGCAGACAGTTAGAATAACCCTTTCAATGCTGGCTAGATCTCCTAGGTAGTTAAGATCTATTCTTATGTATTTTTAAATAAAATAACATTTAAACCAGTTCATTAGCCATTTCCTGAAAACAATCCAATAAGAGAATTTACCACATTATATAAGCAGATTTTTAATTCGTCTAAAAGATATCTATCTTAATTTAGAGCAAATCAATACGCCTGGATAAAAACAGCGGTATGCTAACACGTGATAATATCACATCAATATATAATTATTCTTAATTCCACCTGCAGAATGGAATATTTATAACTATATATTCTTAGTTAACTAAGATTTCTTAATATGGAAATCTGACCGTGCTTTATCCAGTCATATATAATGCTATTAATATAATTTAATTAATTTAATTAAATGAGACCAGTATAATTACCAGTTGAGTAGATATTTCATCCGATTGGTAGTCTCTCTGCATGGAGGTGTTGGTTAGAAAGTCAGTAAATTCTAAGTGTTAGAGTTTTAGGAGTAGACTGTTAGTCTCAGATGTTATCCTCTCTCCTCTCCTTTGCATATCTTGCATCTGCCTCCTTCTCTCGTCTCTCTATCTTCCCTTTGTCTTAACTTTTAAAGGGCCAGACTCTCTGTACGTCATCAGTTGATAACCCAATAGAAGCACTAGAGGTGTGGTTATCTTCCAGATCGCAAATTAGTTATTTGGTCTGTAGAGGGCAGTCTTGTCCCACTAAACATACCTATCCAGGAAAGAGTTAACTTTTCCTGGTGGCTATTTTGACGTCATTTTGCGTTATCTTTATAGCGCCATAATTTAAAATTTCAAAGGGTTTCTTAAATTTGTCCAGACTTAGCGTCTGCAATTCCTGCCATAATTTCTGATATGACAGATCATGAACTAAGTTTACCCTTTTCCATACAATGGTACCTTATATGTATAGACAGTTAAATATTAAATTATTTAATCTTCTCTGTCACAATTGTCTGGGTTTAGATTTGATTATATTCCATTAGCATTAGACAGTCTATCCAACCCCCTTCCTTATCACTTGGCTTGTATATACTATGCATTCCTCAGATCTGGGAAAGTGGTTAGCTTACAGATAGAAATATAGTGTCTCTTTGTCTTTGTTAACTTGGAATAACAAAATGGAGTCTGGTCTGTTCAGAGTGACTCAGAATATACACTTTTAGTTTCTATCATAGCACAAAATGTCTGCCGATATAAATACTCTGACATAACCCCCCTTTAGTGCATTTCATAGCCAAAATTAATTTAGCTTATGAATAAGCACTATAGAAGTTATCAGACATATTGTGCAATCACATCATTTCTAACATAGGCCCGTGCATGGAATGAACATTTTTGTGTATATTTGTACCTGTAAAAGTTTTGAACTTTACACTTAGTACAATCAACCATAATATCATTATTACATAGTACATTGTTTTCATTTGAAAAATGTCTTTGGGAGTTACATATGGTATGGTCAATAAAAAGCAAATCTCCATACGTTCCGGATCAATTAAGAGAGGTATAGCGCTCCCCATCTCAAAGGCCAGATTTAATTGCATAGGCTCAATTGTCTCTCCATCCACATTGGCAAGCATCGCATGAACAATATCCTTGGATACAAAATACAGAGGTATGCGTCCCCCTGCCAATTCGATCATTCCAGTTGCGCTTCGTCGAGAAAAGCAAGTGTGTGGAACAATATTGGGTCATGCAGAAATAGAAGTTCACGCTTAAATAAGTCATGACTTTGGTGCAACTCAGTGGATTTGGCAATTAACTCCGAATGCAAATTTGTTGTAACAACTGTGTCTTCCACAATAGTTAACACGTCTTGGAGAAGTGTTCTTTGCTGGTTTATCACCTGATGAATATCGTTAATGTGTTGCTTTAGCGCATAGATTTCCATATCCAGCTTTTGGACAGTAATAGAGTTGGCTGCAGACATTCCAGTTGCGACAACTGCACCGACAGTGGCACAAACTAATGCAACAATTATAGCGGTGAGGAACCTTTTGGGTCGGTTGCTCATCGGAATAGAACTGGATACAAATGGTTTCCGGGCTTGCTCCAAGATGTTTCGCACACGGTCCTGTGCTCTTTGGAGGTGCATCTGGTACCAAGTCTGTAACTCAGGAAGCTGCATCGATGAAATGTTGTATGCCTTCTCGATGGAAATCTTGGGGTCCAAGTTGATGAACACACGTCTGGTCAGGATCCTCTTCTCTGTTAAGATGAACCCTGGTGTCTCTTGAATCAGGATGCCGGAGGATGGTCCCATCTCTGCGATCGGGTCGGTCCGTAGCTCTTGGCACAGGAGCAGTACGATCCAGAAACAAACACGCCACATCCTTCTTGGACATCCTTCGACAGTCACGGATCAGGAACTCGTTTCAGACTTATCTACTAATGATTCAAGGTTTGTTAAGCATACAAACTTATAACAGTATGACATCACTTGGCCTAGGACAACACATTATTACGATTCATCAACATATGTATTCTCTCTAATTCTATTTTTATAACTTCATCCCTCACTACATTTATTACTGACTCTTCAGCAATTTGCCTATAGCAGTTAAACAAGCTAGTAACCTGCTTATAAATGTAGTTATTGGATGGCAAGGAAATGGTTAATGACATGAACGTACATGAGATCATGGCACATCACAACAATTCACATCATACGATACCACGTGAATCAAGCATTCATCCAGGTTAGTCGTTCACCCTTCTGCGTCTGAATCCACACCTATAATCCTTAATTGAGATTTAGGATGACAAGCAAGCAACTGGTTAATGTGAACCCACTTTTCAATAAAATCACCATCCTTAGGAATTTTTATCTTGTACGCTACTGGGGAAATTTTGTCAATAATGACATATGGCCCTTTCCAAGAAGGTAAAAATTTCTTTTCCTTGACTTGATTTCGCGCAAAGTTATACAGATGGACTTGATCTGTTATCTCATATTCCTTTTTCGTGGTTTTTAGATCGTAATAGGTCTTAACCCCTGTCGCTGCTTTTTCTAGATTCTTTTGGGCAAAAGCAAACGCATGCTGTAAATGCTTGCGCAAATCTTCAATATACTGATGCATAGTGGCAGCATTGATCAAGTTATGATCCGAAGTACGATATAGTAAATGCTGTGGTAAAACCATCTTTCTTCCTGTCATCAATTCAAAAGGTGACAATTTGGTAGCAGTGCTAGGTGTAGCTCTAATCGCCATTAAAACTAGGGGCAATTTAATGTCCCAGTCTTTACCAGACTCCATAACATACTTCTTCAGAATATTAACGATAGACTGGTTATATCGCTCTACCCCCCCCGCTAGACGCAGCGCGGTATGCAATATGTAGCTTTCGTTTAACACCTAGAATGTTCCACATCTTAGCCATTACTTCGCTGGTAAAATGACTACCTCTTTCTGACTCAGACCGAACCTGGAAAAGATATGGTTAATCAACAAAGTGGCGCACACGGTACTTGTGTTCTCTTTACAAAGCAAACATTCTATCCACTTTGTGTACATACATGTAACGGTTAACATGTATTTGTTACCTCTTGAAGATCTTGTTACAGGACCTATAAAGTCAATTTGAATATCAGACCAGGGTAATGACACTCCCCTCTTCTGAAGTGGTGCACGATGGGTTGGACCATGGGGTTGATATTGCGGACAAATCAAGCATCCCTGACAGTATGTCTTAACATCCCTTAACATGTGTGGCCAATATGCATAATCGCGCAATATCTCATATGTGATCTTATCACCACGATGCCCAGATGTAGGTGCATCATGTGCGTGTTGGAGCATTAACCCTCTGTATACAGTTGGGACTACCCATTGTTGTATACCATGTTTAGAAGTTCTGACCAGTAACCCATCCATGATATTAAATTGGACTTTATATCTCATCAAGATTCGTAAATCTTCATTATCTTTGCAATCTTCATCTGTGATGGGATTGGCAGTAGGGTCTTCTATATGTCTATAGAATATGCCTATGACGGGATCATTCTTTTGACTGGTAATCAGGTCCTCACTAGGAGCTTCTTGACTCCATTGCACGACATTTAAGTCGGCATTATCTCTAGCCTGTCGTCTAGTTATGGCTTCAACATGAATTGAACCCATAAGATCATCAATATTTAGGGTTTCACCATTGATGGCAGCTTGTTTTGCCAGTGAATCGGCTAAGTCATTACCATCCTTATCAATACCTTCTATTTTAGAATGGCCTTTGGTTTTCTTCCAATATATGGATAAACCATTTTCCTTAACCAGTTCATCGATTTTACAAAACAATTTCCCATGTTTAACAGGTTTGTTATTGCTTTTCAGCATTTGGTTACGTTTCCAGCTAGGCAGATATTCAACGAAACTGTTGCGAACATAGTTGGAATCAGTTATAATAACAATTTCTTTGATACCATATTCTATTGCCATTTGAATGGTCTTATATACTGCACAGAGTTCGGCTATCTGACTGCTTTTGGGACCAATATTGTATCCTATAGATACATTAGGATAATCACCTGTCCAGGCGATTCTGATACCTGCAACTAACTTCCGTTCAGTACCAACGATGTGGTGATATGAACAACCATCAATGTATACCCACGGTAGTGGTCGACAGTATTCCTCGTCATAAACTTTATAAGGAGATAGCAATTGCTCTTCTAGGAAGTCATCTCCGGTGTTATTATCATCCAGAGATGGAGCAGTACAGTCATGTAATTCTGCTAAACCTTGGGCAACTGGGCTTCTCTTATTATGTTTATAACGGACTTCTAACGGCCATCCCTGTAAGGATAGAGTCCATGCAGTAATCCGACTGTTAGAGAGATTACCGTCTCTAATTCTTTCACTCTGCAGATACTGTAGAGGTTGGTGAGCTGTTTCTACAATTATTTTCTCACCTTGGATATAGCTACGAAAATTTTGTAGTGCCCAGACAGTCGACAATAACGCCTTCTCACACGTGTTGAATTTAACTTCAACAGGTGACAAAGTCTTGCTAGCATATGCAATAACTTTGTTTAAACTGTCCTGCTTCTGATACAGAACAGCACTTATGCTTAAATCGGTATATCCTGTCTCCAGATAGAAGGGTTTACCCCCCTCTGGGTATGCTAAACAGGGTGCCTGAGTGAGCTTCCTCCTCAGTTCACTTACCGCTTGGTCCTGAGGCTCCCCCCAGTTCCAGGTAGTTTCCTTTTTAAGCAGGTGTAAGAGTGGTTTAGTTATTTCTGCATAGTTATCTATAAACTTACGGGAGTAGTTAGTCATACCAAGGAACGATCTTAATTCCCTGATGTTTGAAGGTGTTTTAGCCTTTAGTACGGCTTCAACCTTCTTCCTCTGGGGATTTAATCCTTCAGAAGTTACCTCATGTCCGAGGAAATTGACATGGGTGCGACACCATTGCGCCTTTTGTAAAGACAGTTTAATCCCTGCCTCTCTTAACTGAGTGAGAACATGTCTAATCTCTAAGATATGCTTATCAAAGGAAGTGCTTTTCAGCAAGACATCGTCGACATATGATAACGTTCCTCTCTCGAGTGCGTCAGGCATAGCTTTATGCATGAACACAGCGAATTCATGACCAGAGTTTATGTAACCGAAAGGCATACGGGTCCAGGTATACTGCTGCTTTCCAAATGTGAAGGCCAATTTATATTGGTCTTCATTATGGACTGGTACAGTCCAATATCCCTGCGCACAGTCAATGGCAGTGAATATTTTGGATCCCTGCATTTGTACCAAACATTGGTCTATGTATGGCGTTGGCCAACCAGACATATAGACGCGTTTATTTAGCTGTCGTAAGTCAGCGCATAAACGCCATTGTCCATTAGGTTTCAGAATCCCCAAGATCGGATTATTATACGAACTGTGCACTGGACGTATAATGCCCCTTTCCTTTAAATTCTGAATGATGTTTTGTAGACCATCATATGACGCTAATGGGAGTCTATATTGTTTGATAAATACAGGTGGTAAATTTGGATCAGTTTGTATTCTGGCTACGTGGAGGTTAGTTAACCCACAGTCGTAGGAATCTTTGGCAAAAATATCTTGGAATTCCAAAAGGATTTCCTTTAGCTGTTGCCGCTCAGCATCGTTGGAGCAACCGTCAGCTAAAGATATTTGCTCTTCTAGCCTTTCCTGAAATCCTGGAAAGATTTCAGGCTGGCCTATCTCATAAGCTTCTTCAAGCCTAGAAGTTAGGTCAGTTCGGTGTTGACTTACCTTTTCTCTTTGGTCGTGATACTCTTGTGATTCCTGCTCATTGAGCGGATGATTGAAGGTAATTGATGCTTCTTCGATTTTACACGAGCCTTCTTCAACATTGAAGGGATACACAGATAGGATAGTGAATAATCCTTCTGGGGAGGAATGGAATATTTGATCGACAATTTCGTCCTCAGTTAAGTATTCTTCAGGGATGAGGCCTATAATTTGGTTTTGGAAACCAAATGTATAGTACTCAGCATCCAATGCTAGACCTAATAATGTTCCTTTTGGTAAAGTAACACTATTGGGTGTAACATTGTTGACCATGATATAGGTGGGATTCTTACCAATACTTACCATTGGTGTATGTGTTACCACCATCCCTAATTGTTGTATCCTGTTGGATAAACAGATTAGGGCATCAGAGTTTTCCAATCTCTGACCCTCCTTGACCTGTAGGGGTAAAAGAAAGTTACTTGTCCCTTGTGGAATGGTTATGTCATCAGGTACTTTGATACTTACCGCATATGGGAGTATTTGTCCTGATTTTAGGGCATTTTCCTCGTGTAGGTATCCACAAGGATTACCTTTTAACCTTGTCCACAAGTTGGAATTAATCAGATCAAGGTGTATGGCAAAGCGATGTATGACATCATTGCCGATGTAAACCTGATAGCGAGGTTCGTCTATCACTAAGAATAGATGTTTAACTGTCTTATTTCCGATGGAAATAGATAGTAAACATTTTGCTATCACATTGTGGCTCTCTGATTCGCCATCCAGGTTCTGGATCCACCTGTCATGTGGGGAAGCGTACCTGATCATTTTAGGATTAGCGATCTGCTTTAACAGATTTCTGCTAATATAGCTGTTTTCACTCTTTAAGTCCAGCTTTGCATTCTTACTTCTTCCTAAGTCATTTATTTGCATAGGAAAGAATAAGTTGTTATTAACCCTTTCAATTCTGGCAAGGAATTGAGCATGACCTGCCAGATCTACAGATTCAACATAGTCCCTGTGGAGAGAAATGGTTAAAACATCACCTTCCAGAGAGACATTCTGGATCCTCTCTGGAGCAATTCTTACGGAATGCTCATCTACAGGTGCG